GACAGAGCCGGCGGCTGTGGCGACTGGGATGGCGATGGCGGCGGGGACGGCGGAGGCAGAGGCGGAGGTGCAGGCGATGGAGACGGCGGCAGCGGGGACGGTGGCGGCAGCGGCGGAGGTGGTGGCGGAGGCAGACGGCGGGGGCAGAGGCGGAGGTGGGGGCAGAAGCGTCGGAGACGGTGGGGGTGGCGACGGGGGTGGCGGCGGCAAGGGCGGAGGTGGCGGCGACGGGAAGGGCGGCGGTAGTGGGGACGGCGGAAGAGGAAGAGGGGACGGCGGGGGAGGGGAATTCGGGGGGGGTCGAGAGAACCAACTTCCCATCGGCGCACCTGTGGGCGTCATCACGTGGCGCGGTGAGTAGAGGAGAGCAGAGAAGCACGAGGCCCCAGGCCTCGGCCCAGGCGTGAGCGCAGATGTGGCAATGGAGGCTGGCCGTGTGCATGCGTGCACAGCAAGAGAGGCGGCCGAGCGTTCAGTGACGACCGCGCCGAGATTCTCTGGGACACATCACGGCGAGACGTCTCGTGTGGATGTGAGGCGTAGGCAATCCGGGCGACTTTGGAGCAAACCGCGCCCGAAGATCGCCGAGAAGGGAAGAATTACGACAAACTCGCAGTAACGGGACTGGCACGCACTGGCACTAACACAGGTACACCACGGGAGCCGCCTAAGCGACTCCTGCGAGGGTGGCGAGGCACTTAGCTCCGTGCACCCGCCCACCCCCGCCACAGGCAAGCTCATTCACGACCTGCTCTGCGATGGCCGAATTTAAAGACAAGGTAGGAGCTTTCGCAGCCCGGCACGAGGAACATGTCGCCGTAGATGATGACGAACTCAGTGACCGCCCACAGCCGCGCGTAAGCTCGAAGGAGGTCATGCACATGCTGAGAAGGATGCGGCACGTTGTTGTTGTTTGCTCGGTGCCATGCGCTTTGAGCCAGGTAGTTCACGACTCGCCCGATCGAGAGGGGTGCAGCTGAAAAGAAAAAAAGGAAACCAGCGTGCAGGAGAAAAGACGAGCTTGCTGTGTGTTGTGTTGTGTGGGGTGTGCGGGGTGCGGGGTGTGTTTGCGGGCATATCTGCCCTTATTCGAAGGTGTCGAGGTGGGGAAGGGGGGGGGGGGGGGGGGGGGCTTTACCCCCCCCCCCTACTTTCCAAGACCTCGGGGGAAAAAATGTTCCCGTAACCCCCGAAACGGCTGCTGCTGTGTGTGTATGCGGCCCGAGGCTACCCCCCGTGAGGGGCAAAAGGCGCAAGCAAAGCATCTGGGGGGGGCCGTCAGCCTAATAACCCCCACTCTCTCCCCCAAATACTTGGCACGGGGGGCTCTGGCGCCCGGGTTAATGTCAGTCACCAGTGCCCGAAAAAAAATCCCTGGGGGGGGGGAGGGGGCCGTTTTCCCAACCCTCCTACTTGACGGAGGGTGACGGGTCTAGCCTCTACCTACATTTCGGGGATATGCCGTACCGGGGGCAGGGGCATGGCCGTATCAACTATCGACTATCGGGGACTCCCAAACTGTTTGCCCCCCCCTTCCCGGGTGAGAGGGAGAGCTTAAAATACCCTGAACATGATGGGCATCTAATTGAACAAACCGGTCCGGGAGCAGTTTTCCCCGTCAGGGGCCGTTTTTTTACACGTGGGTGGGGAACCGACTACTCCCGGTCGAGGTCCAGGTCCTCCAGGCCCAAGTCGTCCAGGTCGCTCGCGCCCTCCTCGGGGTCGGAAATACTGGTCGCATTCGAGGCCCTCGACGCGTCAAGGTCCTCCAGGTCCTCCAGGTCCAGGTTGAGGTCCT